GTTGCAGAGCACAGGCTCCGGACGCGCAGGCTCAGCGTCCATGGCTCACGGGCCCAGCAGCTCCATGGCACGTGGGATCTTCCCGGACCGGGGCACGAACCCGTGTCCCCTGCATAGGCAGGCGGACTCTCAACCACTGCGCCGCCAGGGAAGCCCGATGTTTATTCTTATTTGGAATAATAGCCGTTATCATCTGTGGAGTGTTTATGACGTGCCAGGCCCCACTCCAGGCACTTAAATACATCCTCATTGCCTTCTCACAGTAACCTGGGAGATAGCATTACGGGCTGCATTTTACAGTTGGCTGGGGAAGCTGGTGCTTGAAGCTGCTGGCCTGCTCAGGGTCACAGACTAACATGCCCAAGGTCACGCCACTCCTAAGTACTCCCCTGGCCAGCCCCAGGCGCTGAGAGCCAAAGCCTGCCCTCCAAACCAGGGCAGGGGAGAGGCTGAAGGGCCAATATCGTCACAGCTTTTAGAGTATTTTAAACCCTTATTCTGTTCACCCGTTACCCGGGCTCTCCAGTTCCATTCCAGGCGAACTTGAGTCCTTGCCCCTCTTCCTGGGCCTTTAAAACTACCTTCCTTTGGACAACCCCACAGGTGTGTCAGGGAAACACAATACTGACCAATTCTTTAGCAATTTGGGTTGCAACTGGGGAGGCTGAAAAGATGGCCCCGATGAGTGTTTTGAACCTTCTGGAGGCCCTGTTTCTACATCCTCTTTCTCCATTATTTGAGACAACCAAAATTTGCTCCGCTGCCATGTGAGAAGCAAGAAGAGCTCTTAGCATAATTGTGCAGGACCCATCAGAGGCCGTTAGGAATTGCGTGTATGTGTGCGTGTGTGTGTGCGTGTTTCCTGCTTTGACAACAGGAATTTTCTGAGAAACTCTCTCTGTTGCTCTGATGCCCTGGAGACCTAAGAGCAGGGGGAATGTGTTAAATGCCAGAAGAGGATGAGCAGAGTGTCTGGCAGGCTCGGGGTGGGGCGTTTGGAGCCAGGATTGGGTCAGTCTAGCCGGAGGTGGAGTCCCGCATGCTGAGGAAAGACTTTGGGCCGATTCCGGGGGGAGAGGAGCTATATGAGCCTTGGACTAGAGCAGGGAGGGTCAGATGTGCAAAAAATATTTAGAGTAAGGGACTTCCCTGGCGGTCCAGTGGGTAAGACCCCGCACTCCCAGTGCAGGGGGCCTGTGTTCGATCCTTGGTCAGGTCTGCAGTATATTTCACGTTTTAAAAAATATTCAGGGCTTCCCTGGTGGCGCAGTGGTTGAGGGTCCACCTGCCGATGCAGGGGACGCGGGTTCGTGCCCCGGTCCAGGAAGATCCCACATGCCGCGGAGCGGCTGGGCCCGTGAGCCATGGCCGCTGGGCCTGCGCGTCCGGAGCCTGTGCTCCACAGCGGGAGAGGCCACAGCGGTGAGAGGCCCGTGTACCACAAAAAAATATATATATATATTCAGCCAGAAAAATAAGATGTTTGAACACCCTTTTCTGTCCACGGACTTACCTGAAAGAAAAAAGGAAAATTTTCTTCCTAGATGTTCTTACATATTCCTGAGCAACTTACTAGTAATACAATATATATGTATTTGATTTTATGTATTATGTGTGCCTGCATGTGATAAACATGTTTCCAAAAGCCTTTGCATCTGTGGGGTCCCAAAGAAGTAATGAGAAGTATTCCCCCAGCAGTTCCTGCCTGAGCACCTGTGCGGCCTGGACCTGGGTGCTGGGCAGGGGCTGCGGAAAAGACCGTCATGGTCCCCGCCACAGGTTACACCCCCAGGGGAGTCCGACTTGGAACCAGATCTTGAACACAGGAAAATAGACTGAGTCACAGCAAGGTGCTGGCCTCCTGAAGGTCGTGGAAGGAATCCTCGGGGTTGACGGGGGGCAGGGGGGTTGTCGAGGGGCGGCGGTTTGGTTCACCATCGAGGGCCAAGATGTGAGAACTCAGAGTGGCCGGTGCAGGCTCACTGAGGAACTTCCAGAAATTAACTGTCCACGGTGCTCTTGAAGTTGTGCAGAATTCTCTACTCAAGCACTTTCGGTGACGAGTCAGAAATCCAACTGAACGTAGTATAAATGGAGACATTTATTATCTCATTTGACAGCAAGGCCCAAGGTGACAGGGTTCTGGGTTGGTTCTGGGACGTGACTTCATTGTGAGCAGCTACCCTCCTCTGCCCCACCGTGCCCTCCCCCTGGTGCAACGTCACGCCGGCCTCTGCCGCCGCCGGCCCCCCCCCCCCCCCGTGCCCCCCCCCGCCCCCCCCCCCAGAAGCGGGAAAACCTTCGCGAGAAGGAAGCGTTTCCTGCTGCCCTGTGCGTCTTTCTCCTTCTTTCCTGCCCTCCCGCCAGCTCAGACGCCCCTTTTTCAGTGAGCACCCCACCTGCACAGAACCTCTCGGGCCCCACTGCCCAGAACCCGGCGCTCAGGTGCCAGGGCAGGGGGCAGCAGTCCCCTCCCAGCGCCACTGCCCTGCGTCATGGGGTGGGGGCTGCCGGCGGGGAGGACACGGCGGGGCAGCCGCTCGGGCGGGCGCAGCCCCTGCCGCATTCTCCGTCCCTGAAAGACGGCTAGAAGTGGCCGGACGGCCGGGGCGGCCACGCGGTCACAGGCTCCTGCGTCCTCGGTGGAAGGTGGCTTCACCCTGGTCCGCTGGCGTCTGCTGGCCACGTGGGGCCTCTTCGTTTTCAGGTGAGTGAGATGTATGGCTTGGGGTCGCAAAGACGAATGATGCTGAGACGGTTATCAAAATATGTTTATAATGTGTTTCTGAATGCGTTAAATAACGAGGCCTCATGTCTGATAGCTGCCATAATTTCAAAGTAGTAATGCGCGTAAGCAGTAGTTTGAAAAATCTACAGTTAACGTGATGTGAAGATACCTGTGTTGTGTGTGTGTGTGACCAAGCTTCCAGTTCATTGGCTACGTACGTTCAGTTGGAGGTA